CAAGCGCGGATGAAGTCGAGGCTGGGTACGCTCCTGCATGAAATGATTCATGCGTTTTTGAAGGCGTATACGTGTCGGAGTTGTCCCATGTGGGCGGCTTGTATAGGCGAGAGGGGGCATGAGAGGGCGTGGCAGGTTTTGGCTAGGAAAGTGGAGCAGGTTGCGGGGGTTGTGGTGGGTGGGAATGTGGATTTGGGGAGGTGGCAGAGTGCGTTGAGCGAGTGTGAGGGGGGTGGACTGCCGAGCGTGCATGATTTGGAGGTTTGGGGGATGGGCGGAAGTGGTGGTGGAGAGAAGGGGTGTTGTTGATAGAGATGTGAATGGGTAGATATTCTTGCATTGGGTTGGCGCAGCATTTACGAAACGGAGTTTTAGACGGCTGGTATGGCTTTTGTAATGATATCCTTCAACGTTCAGGTCGCAGCGTTCATTGAGTTCTGGAGCATGTTTGTATCACGTTAACGAGAATATCCACATCATCCACCGCCCGGCATATCTGTTCCCACACTCCGCGGCTCCACAAACCCAAAGACCTCCAAATCATGTCTACTCGGATAGTGGAACTTCGCCCCAGCATTCTTCATATCATGGAAGACCCCATCCATCCTGCCCAAGTCGAGGCTCAACCCAAACAACTTCGCGAACTCCGCCTCAACACCCAGCGCCAACCTCTGCCACGCCCTCCCATGGATTGCCAGGTTATCGCCCGCAGCACGGCAAGCCCTACAACACAGTGCTAGAATCACAGCATGTATAAGCTCATGCATTAACGTAGAAAGCCGCTGTATCGCCAGAGCTCTGGTAAAGTCGCGATCGGGGCTCCCGCTCATTATGGCTCTTGTAGGATGCATGGCAATACATTGGACATCCTCGCCGTTACGGTTTTCCGTAACGGTGACGCCGATTGAGTTGACATTCGTTTCCAGGTAATGGCTGTGCCAGGCGAAATCGAACGGGATTGCTGCGCCGAAGAAGAACAGACATAGCAAATGCTTAATCAGTGCTTTCATATCATCGACGGTCAGAGTGCCACGTATATCATGCGATCCAAGCCTCGCGATTAGATCTTGATGGTAGAGCCATTTCTGTATCTCCGATGCAGATCGGATTTGCCCGATATCGAATTCCTTTTTTGGTCTGCTGAAGTACTGGATGGAGCTGCGGACTAGTTGGAGGGCTTCGTATCGTCCCGATCTCATTCGGGAGTTGTAGATGATGGTGGGTCGCTGGAGGGGTAGGATGGGGATTTCGTTTGGGGGATGGTTTAGGTAGCAAGAGTAGGGGTAGTTTAGGTAATGGTCTCTTGCGCAATCCTCGCAGAGACAATCTTTGACGAAGGTTCGGGTTAGGATGCGTTCGTAGAAGACTGCTTTCGGTCCTATTAGAGGTGCTATGGGTGGATGGGCGGTGCTGTGTCCGTTTGAAGCCATAGTAGAGTATGCGGTAGTGGGTAGAGGCCGAAAAGGGCGCAGATAGATCGTACTTCATGTCTCAAGACTTGTTTGGCTATTTCTTTGTGATTATGGCTTATTGTTCACGACTTCTGTGGTACCCGGCTCCAGACCTTTCCAGCTGTAAAACTCGCGGAAGGAAAGCTCTCAGGGTTTCGAATAATGTGTTTACGACTGATTCACGTCACTGTAGAAATCCAATGTCTCGATCTGGTGCGACGTGCTGTGGCCGAGCTTTGGGGCGTCTCAAATGTTGTGAGACTTTACGGCCCAGTACGTATATAGCGACCACGCGATGTCATCGCAAGCAAGTAGCTTAACCGATAACAACCCGCTCAGCCAGTCTCTGGAAAACACATACAACCAATTCATCATGTGTAGACAGCCTCGCGATGCATACAACCTGTCTATGACTTCTCTTGACGTTGATTGTCCGAAGACGCCACAGGAATACATCGACATGATCATCGATCGTCACAGCAAAACCCGTCACCAGCGGCTCGGGACCTGGATCAACAATGTGAAATGTCGCAATCCCTGTGAAAAAGCCATCCGCGCTGTAAAGTACACAAACAAGCTGGGAAACCAAACACGTAAGCGCGACTCGCTGCGAAGGACCAGCCATCATGCTATCCGACTTTCCGACGAAGTTAAAGCCATCATGTCAGAGGGACCTGAGTTTGACAATGACGAGCAGCTAGATGCGATCGCATCCTTCAAAGAACTGCTAGAGGACAAAGCAACGGGCTCTCTACTGCGACGACTAGGGTGGTATGATGCAAGTAGCGTCTCCAAGGACCAGATGAAGTATCTGATGAAGCTCTTGTCAGCCATCTTCTTCCGCGACTATCAGATGGAGCTTGACTTCGAATGGAAAACCTACAACGACGATTATTTTGGCCGTTACACATGCGATGTGCACCCCAAAATCGAAATGTCGGCATTCAACTACATGCTTGCTTCGCCCCACGGAAATCTATCTGCCCGAACCATGTCACGCCTGAGTACTCTTCTTCACGAGTTGGTACACGCATACCTGGGTATCTACGCTTGTAGGTGCCCATCATTTGTGAAAGATGTTGAATCACTCAAGGGACACGGACTAGCGTGGCAGCGGATTGCGAGCTCGGTGGAACACAATGCTCCTCGCTTCATTCACCTACCACTGGTTCTGGGAAGATTCACCTCCATACAAGCTAATTGGGGTGTACCGCTATATTGGCCAACTCAGCAGGAAGTCAAAGAGTGGAATTTGGAACGGATGGTAACTTAGGGTATCAGGGAGATTGAACCTCTTGATGTGTTGTAGTTAGTAAATCAAACGTTGATTGTTGTATAAGCAAAAGCCCCAATATCATGTAGCTTTCTTCGCATGTCTCTGATCGTTGGTATCTGTGCGGATTTATTGGTCTTCCATGTCTCGCTTACATCGAGACATCTAATGATTACCCACATCGATAAGTACCGTATATTGCATGAGAGGAAATGTGCTGACGTACTCTCCTTCCATTAGCAGAGATCAAGTCATGCCACTCATAAGGACTGATAAGCTGACGTCGCGCTCTCGTCCTTACAAAAGTACCCGGCCATCAAATCGGCGCGAGCCTCCCAGAACACCACACGAGTTTCTTTACATGATCAAGGAGTACCACAAAGCTAATCCTGGAAAGCTCTCACAAGATGAACCATCTCCCAGGAAATGCAAAAACCGCTGCGACACTGTCATCAAAACCACATCCGTCCCCAACAAGCTCGGCAACCAGGTGGACGAGCGGACGCCATTGCGCTTCTGGCGTCATCAGGGTTCTCAACTGAGAGAACTCATAATGCATGGGCCAAAAGTCAGCCGCGAGCATCTCACAGATACCCAGCTCAAAGCCATCGACGTTCTCAACGGCATGATCGAAGACCGTTCTGAACATGCAGTGCTGCAGCGACTCGGTCACCCAGACGCCCGTAGCGTAAAAAGTTGGGAAATGGAGAGGCTAATCATCCTCTTGACATCGATCTTCTTCCAAACTACGCCATGGGATAGAATGGACGTGCGGTTTGACTGGTCAGACCAGCCATCTGATCCGGTTAGCATGGGTGACTGCACTTGCGCAGGTCCAGGTCAACCATATGCGGTAGTAAGGCTATCCGCATCTGAAGTCAGACCGTTTCGAGCCTTTCGTCACTTGAGTGGCAGGGCCATGTCTCGGATGAGTACATTGCTTCATGAGCTTGTGCATGCCTACGTCGGGTATTATGCTTGCCCATGTTGTCCATCTCACCGAGAAGACCTTGTGCAATTGGGCGGACACGGCAGAGTTTGGCAGAGGATTGCGAGGTCTGTGGAAAGATTCGCCAATGATACACTTGGTCTTCCGATTGATTTGTGTCGCTTTGAGGCTATTGTCAACAACTGGGATGATATGCTGTTTTGGCCTACGGAGGATGAAGTTGAAGGGTGGGAACTGGTGTGGTGATTGGGCATAGCATGCGGAAGTGTCTACCAGAGCTGCTATAGGTCTCGTTAGCGATGTTGTTACTCGGTAGAAAGATTCTTGACTCATCTTCAAATACATGGGAATATTCTTCCGACTCGCATGTCTTCTCGTTACTGCATGGCATGACGCCAAACTGGCTTACGACGAGGAAGCTTGCAAATTCACATACCAGCGCTATTTTTGGGCTCGGTGGGCACAAGATGCTTCTTCAGCAGGTCGCATGGACCCGATTTGAAGGCACGCCAATATGTTTGCTTCTCAAACACTCAAGACCTTGCCGTTGTGACGATCATGTGGAAGATGTCGCAAGCTGGGGTCACAAGCAATGAGGAAGTTGTCCAGACGTCATGTGCAAGACCAAACTTCTGTCGCCAATACTATATATCGGCCATGCAAGCCTGTCGCAAAGATTCATAGAAACCAGGACGAGACAAGCCTAATAGTGTTGACAATACGATCACAAAAGTTCAACATAAGGCCACACAGTCCAGTACAAACATGGTCTCTACCGATTTACTGCACCGCAGAGGCCCACCTGCCACGTCCGAAGAGTTTCTCGCTATGGTTGTCGAGCTCGGAAAGAGAAGGAAATCGCAGCGTTTGGCGGACCAGCACCCATGTGGGCGCTCATGTGGGGGGGACATTGCTGCCAAGGGAACCCAAGGTGAATCAGGATATCGAGAGCGAGCGCCCTTACGCTTAGGAGGTCACCATGCTCTTCGACTTGCTGATGAGATCCAGCGTAGCATGAAACTAGGCATACCCGGATTCAGCGGTGAACAGAATGAAGCAAGTAATGCTTGGAATAACTTGGGTGGAGACAGGTCGGAGACCTCTTTGCTACAAAGATTAGGGCACGAGGATGGCAAGGATGTCTCCGAGAAAGAGATGAAGATGCTGATCGACGTCCTCTCGGGAATGTTCTTTCCAACAACGTCAGCGGACGCTAAGATGGAAGTGGGCTTTGGGTGGGAAGATTGGAGGCACATGCCACAGGAACTTGCAGAATACACGGGACGTTGGCAAAAGAATCCTGGGCTCCGTATGTGTGCCTTCAGTTATGTCAAAGTGGGAGGCCATGGTAATCTGAACGAGCGGGCCTTGTATCGCCTAGCCACCATCCTTCACGAGCTCGTGCACGCATATCTAGATCACTATGCCTGCCATTGCAAAAACGTCTCAGACTCGTGGGAGGAGGACGTCAGTCAATCAGGAGGGCATGGAAGAGCTTGGCAGCGAATAGCGAGTTCGGTCGAACTCGCTGCTCCGGAACTCCTTGGTTATCCGTTAGAAATGGGCAGGTTTGAATCGCTTGCGTCGGCTTGGAAACAACTGAAGCATTGGCCGAGCCAGGAGGAACTCGAAAGCTGGCGGTTGGACTACTACGCAACAACAGAATTTGTCTACGAAGATTCGGAAGATGAGAATGACGGCGAAGGTGAAGGCGGCGATGAAGGCAGCGATGAAGGCGAAGAGAAGTAACAGTGTAGACTAGATCAAAACTGGATATGTTTGCTTTGCTATGCTAGTTTAGTTGAAAGTGCTCGTCCTACAGGAGAAGCGCAAAACGTGATGTAAATAACGACTAATCAGTACTAATCATGTCTGACAGCCACTCATGTTGATGCGGCGACGACGGAGGGGTTTGGATGCAAGGGAAAAACTGAACACCCTAAAGCATACATCAAGATAAAAACATGCAAAGTAGGTGGCTAAGCCTCAACGTAGGCTCTAGAGTGTGTAGTTTTCTTCTTGTACAAGCTAAGGTTGTAGGAAGAAAGCTGCGATGTATTTGTTACTACTACTACTACTATATCTATTCTAGCCTATTCTAACCTTAATATTTAAGTATATAAGCTATTTTTTTTTATAAAGTAGAACTATTATTAAGTAAAAATCTAAATCTTAAGTAGTAATACTTATAGCTTAAAAAGCTACTAATTTTAAAAAAGTAAGAACTATTACTAGTACTTTAAAGAATATATAACTAAATCTTTTATTTACTTTTAAAAGTATAGTATTAAGTAAGTAAGCTAAAGCTTAAAGTTTTAGCGCTACTACCTTTAAAGTAGTTAAAGCTTCTAAATCTTTTAAGCTTATAAAGTAGCTATTTTAATACTAAATACTTTATAAAAAAACTTTATAAGAAAATTATAATATAATTATATACGCTTATTAGCTTATAACTAATAAAGTAATATATTTTAAAGCTTTATAGTTAGAATATATATACTAAAATTTCTTTTAGTAAAGTATACTTCTTCTATTTCTTAAGTTTCTATAACTTTTAGTACTTTAAAAATATATTAATATATAAGTAGCTTAAATCTAACTTTAAAAGCTATACTAATATATAATTTTATAATTTATAAGTTTTCTAAGTAATTATAAGTATAAAACTAATCTCTTACTAGTTATATTATTTTATAACCTTACTAAAGCTTTACTTAGTTACTTTATTATTACTATATTAATTACTTTTTTTATTACTATTACTTACTAAAGCTTCTATAAATAGCTTTAAGTTTATTAAAATTATAGTTTTAAAAGGTATTTTAGTAGCTATTATATAGAAAGTTATTTATTTAATATTTAAGGTCTACTCTACTAATACTATTAAAGCTTTTATTATAGCTTTTATAGCTTTTATAGCTTTTATAGCTTTTTTAGCTTTTATAGCTTTTATTAATAATTTTATTAATACTATATTATATATATATTTACTTAGAGTAAAGTTTTCTATTATCTTTTCTACTAGCTTTAATTTTAAGAAACTAGTTATTAATATATATAAGTTCTTTAGTAAAACTAAAGAAATTATTTATTTTAGCTAAGCTACTAACTATTTTCTTACTACTATTTTAGAGAATAAGTTATTATTATTAATTATTTATAATATCTATACCTACTTCTTTATATATATAGTAAGATAAACTATAAAGCTAGATTTAAAACTATTTACTCTTATAGCTAAGGCTATAAACTTATAGTATAAAGCCTTAATTATAATACTTAGTAATACTAAAAATAAATAAAATAAAAAGAAGAAAATATTTATAACTAGTCTCTTAAGTACTAAAATAACTAAGTAAATATTAGCTATACTAGTAGTCTTTTATAGTAGAAATATTTTTTAAAAAATAAACTATAAGCTATAAAGTAGTTATTACTATATTCTTATTAGCTAAAAAGTTAATATAGTATTATATTATAGTTAATAGAAGCTAAATATAGCTAGTTCTATTAGTAGTATACTTATTACTATATATTATCTTAGTTATTTCTAGTTATTTTTAGTTATAGTATAAACTAAGAATTTATATAAATATATATAGAACTTATCTATACTATAGATAGAAACTATTATATTACTATAGTAAGAGCTCTTAACCTAGACTCTCTAGTCTAAGTTAGAATAATCTACTTATATACGCCTACTTAATATAGCTCTTAAGTCTACTAAGACTATATAGCGCCTTAGGCGCCTACTACCTTAGATAGCTATCTAGCTAGTACCTTTATAATATACTTATACCTATACTTATATATTTATTTATATCTATATATTTATTTATACTTATATCTATACGCCTACTTTATACGCTACTTTAGGTACTATATAATACTTAATTACTTATATATACTATATATATTATATTATATTATATATATATACTAATATACTAAATATAGCTTTATATTTAGCTACTCTTATAGAAATACTATTACTAGTAATATTATAATACTATTACTATTACTATTATATATAAATACTCTACTATCTATATATAAATACTTATACTAATATAATACTTAACTAATATATTATACTACGCGCCTTAGCGCTTAGATACTTAAGTATAATACTAAACTATTTTATACTTTTAGTACCTCTATAAACTTAGTTTTATAAGCTTTTAGATCTTTTTTATTACTTACTTTATAAACTAATAACTTTAGTAGCTTACTTTACTTTATTATAAATACTTTCTTTATATTATTTATATTACTTATTTTTTATAAGCCTACGCTACGTAGCTATATATACTTTATATATTTACTTAATTCTTTATATTTTTAAAAAGATATATAAATAACCTAAGCCTTAGTACTAGCTCTAGTAATAAAGCTTTATTCTTTTTATTCTTCTTACTAATATTAGCTACTTTCTTATATACTACTATCTCTATATTTAGAAACTTAAAGTCTACTTTATTTATAATTCTATTTAAATATACTTTTAATACTACTTATTATTAGCTACTATATATATATATATATACTATAAAATACTTACTAGTTATAACTAGTTCTAGAATAGAAAAAGGTATTATCTTATTTAAACTTATTTAAACTTATTTAATACTTTTAAATATTTTTAGAGAATATTTTATAAAGAATACTTCTTTTAAATTAAAGTTTTTATAAATATACTATATACTTCTTTACTACTACTTTCTTATAACTAGACTACTTTCTTAGCTCTTACTCTTTAAGCTTTTTCTTTATTTTTAGCTTTTTAGCTACTATACTCTAATAATATATATAACTTAAATTAACTTAGAATTTCTACTATATTCTAGCTATTTAAATTATACTTACTACTTCTACGCTTTTTATTCTATTTATAGCTACTATAATTATACTTATAACTTTCTTCTTACTATAGTAATATATACTAAATTAATATTAAAATTATTTAGTAGTTTTAAAAGAGACTAGCTTAAAGTTTTTTAATATCTTTTAATATCTTTTAATATTATTTTACTATAAAGATAACTAAATTAGACTTAAAAGTACTAAAAGTAGAACTATAGTTTAGTTATTAATAGTACTTTAAGTATATATTTTTATAAACTATAAAGCTTTTTTAGCTATATTATAAATATATAAGTAGTAGCTAGTATAAAAGTAATATACTAGACTAATTTTTCTTTTATTATATTACTTTAATTATAACTTTTACTAATTATACTATTTTACTAATTAATAATAATATTACTAATAGTACTATAATAAACTAGCTATTAACTTTAGTAAAGCTAAAAAAAATTAAGTAGCTAATACTTACTTATAATTAACTTAAACTTAACTTAATTTAAAAAAATAAAGTTATACTTATATATATTTATACTAATATATAAAGTAGCTTTTAAAAAAGTATATACTAACTTAAAAGCTACTTACTAAGTTAATAGTATAGCTTTTTATAACTTATATTACTTTACTATTTTTTAAGTATACTTAAAAAAACTTAAAAAAGTTAAAGATAAATTTAATAAAAGTTTAAGTAACTATAAATATTAAATAATAGAGTTAGTTAAATACTAGATATATAATATTAAACTATAATTAGGTATATTATTCTAAAAAGACTAGAGATAAATTACTACTAAGCTATAATAGTAATTCTAAGGTATTTATAGCTAATACTAAGTTAGCCTAGGCTCTTTAGAGCTAGAACTTAATATTATTCTTTTTCTTAGAGTAAATTACTTTTAATCTACTTCTAAAGTTATTTAATAAACTAGATAAAGTAACTATAGCTTATAATAGACTATTTTAGTCTATAATAGTCTATTCTAAGCTAGCGTAAGTATATTATATTTATAAAAAAGTAGAAATCTATTATAAAAAGTAGTAGTTTTAGAAAATTACGTATAAACGCGCGTATAAGGCTACTACCTATACTAGTAGAGCTAGCGTAGGCCTATACGCTCTAAGTATTTCTAGCTAGTTAGATTTCTCTTTTTTATTTTCTACTTTCTAATTACTTTATAATAGTAAGTATTAGCTTTTTTTACTTATTATTTTTAGAATTCTAAAAAAGTCTAAAGTAACTTATTATAGCCTATTTTAGAGTATAATAAAGTAGTTTAGTCTAAATTAAAAGTTTCTAGCGTAAATTATACTAAATTACTACTAACTAGCCTTTAGTACTCTAACTAAAACTATTAATATATACTTTATACTAATTTACTTTCTTTTTATCTATATCTACTTTTTATACTCTATATTACTTTATTTTAAGTCTTAATAGCTTTTTTTATCTTAACTTAACTATAGTTAGTAATAATTAGATTACTATAAGCTACTTTTATATACTTAAGCTTTTTAAGATTAGTTATATACTATATACTAGTTATCTATAGTTATAGAAGCTTAATAAACTTTATATATTTAACTACTATAGCTATACTTTTTTAGTTCTTAAAACTAAGAAAAAGTATACTATCTTTACTAGTATAATTAAGAAAGTTACTAGTGCACTATTTAGAGATACTATTACTTAAACTATTTTATATAGCTAGTATTAAGCTATAAATAAGTAGTACTTTACTATAAGTATCTATTTTACTCTCTTTTAGCTACTATTACTCTTTATTAGCTTTTATAAAGCTAATATATAGTAAATAGCTCTAGAATAGATAGTTTTAGTCTATTTTAGTCTATTTTAGACCTTTTTATACTAATACTAACTA